AAAAATAAGTTAAAAGACTCTGTTTTTTCAAAGTACACATAGTGGCTTCAAAAATCAATCAAATATTGCTTTTAAAATCCAGAACCATGTTCCATGAGGGCAAATAGATCGCATCTTTAACGAGGCAGACAGTGTAGGGATTAAGCCCAATTTTGCCCAATTGAATTCGTTGCTCAGGTCTAATTTTAGAACTAGGACAAATTTCTGCGACATTGGTTTGTTGTCAGTTTTAGGAGCCTGATTTATTGCGAGGCATCAGCTGTCCTGCAGTCTGAACTGTTCCACAATTAGTCAAAATATCCTTTATTAAAAAAGGCAGTGAACTTGTTTTAAAGCAACCTAATTACTGGAGAAATACTTAGCTAAAACTGTAGTGTAACAAAGTAATGCTGCCTTTCTCTTTTTTTTGTCAACAGTGCTTGAAGATGTGTTTCTCTGTCTTGTTTGACTACACTTTATTGGACAAGCCTGTTAAAGGTGGGGTAGGTAAGAATGGAGAAACCAGCTCGCTAGAATTTGAAAATACACAACCGGAAAAAATCTGCCACCTCCTTACAGAGCCCCTCCTCCAACACACACGAACGCACACATGACCAATGAGGGCACGAGATAAGTTTGTGCACGAGATGGAAGGCTGACAGGCAGGTAGGCCATCCAGTTATTTTAGCCGGGCCGGCTCAGATGATTGGTCGTGCTTTTTACAGCGCCACGGCTTCCACAGATGATGTTTTTTTATGGATTTATTGTCAAAGCATTTCATATATTCATTGCTATCGGGATGTTAAGAGCTTTCAATGGAATATAACAAAAAGTGTATCTCGAGCCGGTTTCTCAAACTTACCTACCCCACCTTTAAGAGGATTTCATTCTAACATCTTATAAAAGAGCTATTGAAAAGGGACTTCCAATGTTAATGATGGGACCGTGGATTAACAGTCCTTAAATAAAGTAGACAGGTAGGCTACAGCTATTTGTGGTTTGACAAATTCACATAAAAAAATGGTAGTAAGAGCTTCATTTGATCATAACAAAAATGCGGATGTGCTTCAAAGTAAACTTTCATCATGGAAAAAAATTCATTTCTTACAACATCAATACACAAGAATCTCTGTTGCGAGTACACACATCCTCATTTTAACACAAAACAAAACCACTGATAGAAAAACCCCGAAACATAGTGGACTAATGAAGAGAATCACCACTGAAACTGCACACTTCTCTCTCACATGAGGAAGTCAAATCTCTCACTCCACATGAGAAATGAAAGCAAATATTACAACCGCAAATATACTAGAATTACAGAAGTGGAGGGAAATGTCCTCACAACTAACGCAATCACCACTGCTTCATAGGGGTGTAACGGTATCCGTATTGGTCCCGGACCGTCATGGTTCGGACGTCACGGTTCAGCTGTTTGCCAGCCGCCCTTAATAAACAAATGAAGAAGAAGAAAACACAGCAAAACGAACACAATACAAGAAGAAGAAAAGTTAGTATGGCGATTTCAGATAACACACAGGAGCTAGAAGACCCACCTGCTTCTTTTAAATCAGCTATGTGGGAACATTTCGGGTTCCCTGTGGACTACAACAACGATCGAGTGCGAGTGGTGGATCGGACGAGGACGGTGTGTGTTTGACAGCGGTGCGGTATGCTAATGGTAACACACGCCAAACATGCTAAATCATATCAGAAGGCATCACCCAGATTTGCCAATCACCGGAGCCCGGCAAAAGACAACAGCAGTTCAACAGCTTATCCCCGCAGTTTTTAAGAAGCCAATAGACATGAGAGCCCAAAAGAAGTAACGGAAGCTTTTGGCATATTCTTTTTTTGGCATATATTTTTCAACGGCTATGCTGCGCCCTTATGCAATAGTAGACCCCAGCTTTTATTGATTGTGATTGAAACACTTTCTTATTATTTATTTTGTAATATTTTCAAGACAGTCTTTTTAGTTTTACAGCTTGATGAAACCTTTTAGTTTGACATCAGCCATTATAGATAATATGGCCATCCGAGTGTGTGTGTGGTACGGTTTGGGGTTTGTTTTTAACTGTGTAATAAAGTTAATTATTCAAAATGTTAGAGTTCCTTATTTTTAAACTGAAACTTGCACTACTGCTCAAAATAAATAAAAAACAAACCTGGAATTAAACATTTGGGACTTTTTTTTTGCTTTTTCTTGTTGTACCGAACCCGTACCGAACCATGACCCCCAAACCGAGGTACATACCGAACCGTGAATTCTGTGAACCGTTACACCCCTACTGCTTCATGACTTTGCTTCAACTTATTGCTGAGCAAAGCATTTAAATGTTTGATCCTAGATGTACCTGATGTGCACTTGTCATTCTTCAAACTTTACAAACAAAAGGATAAGTTTGTTTTTCAGCAGGTGACACTGGATAACACATAGGAAGTATTGTTTCTCATCGACTGTTTAAACATGACAGACACAGGACACATATCGAACCGAAAAAAGACGAAATTATGAAAGAAAAAGAGGAAGTGAAATAAAGTGTTTGAATGCAATGACTGAGATTAAGAGAAGAGACGCAATTACGGAGGAAAAGAAACCCCTGCCTGCGTTATTCAACTTCAATAGAAAGCCACTTAATACATTAGATCCCTGGGTTTGTCATTAGACCGGGGACATTTTCAACCACATTACATTTCTGGCTATCACCAAAATGCACAGTTGGTGTTTTCCCCTCGGCTGTGTGGACAGATTTCGCTGCTTGAGGCCACTGGTAGCTCATAGAAAGAGGCAAAGACAGGAAAAAGAGCTCAACAGTTCATATCCACGAGATTAAACCGTCATAACATTCATACAAGGACGTTGTTAGAGGGTATCCGAGTTAACAGGCGCTATATATAGAACGCAGATGAAGTAAATTGGGCCACATGACTGCAATATCAACATGAATAGTTAATGCTTCAGTCCAGGATCTTGAAAGTGAGCTCATGACTTGGCATGTTCTTCATAGGTCTCCTAATAGCCATTTTCACGTCTTGCAAATTGGCCTCGAGAGAATATAATATCAGCCTTGGGGTAAATCACGCTGTGAGGCAGGTCTCCACCATCTTTGGCCCTCTGACTCCCACTGAGAACACACAGACCAAATGTCTCTCCCCCCCCCTCTCACCTCCCTGAAACCTTAATGAGAGGCTGTGAAGAGGTCTGTCAGTGTGACAATAATTACAGAAACTATACTATCAGCAGCTGCAAAAACCCCCCTACGGCGCTTGGAAAGACACACATGCTCGCCCCTTGAAATCATAAACATCTAACTAACCACATATCTCCAAATGATCCTACGTGAGGTACAACACCCAGGCAATATGAACCAGCTGATTATTCTGTTGTATAAGTGTTGGATCATGCCACACAAACAAAAGCAACCAACAAGCTAGCCAACAATTACACAGTCTTATCGCCCATTGTGCTGGTGATGCATGACATTTAGTCTGGCTTTCATAGTGTAAGGTAGACACAATGTGAGGAGATAAACAGAGGGAGCAATTATCTCAAATGTTGCCACAAAACAGAAATGGTTTCACTTACTGAGTGCATTTGCCTGCGTACTCACGGTCTTCCTCGCTACAAGAAAGTCATCAGACATTTTCCTACGCAGTTGTTAGTTTCTGTCTTTAAATAGGACTTGAAATTGTTACCCTGGTGAAGTGATTTTCAAATTGCGGCCCCCCCCCTTAGTTTACTTGTTTAGTGTCACTCACTTCCTGGATAGGGTTATGATTATGTTACTGGACCCCGTTGACACTCAAATGTAAACCACAAAAGCCTAATATTGATGTTTAGCATAACTTTAGTCTAAACGCACCAAATACAATTCTGGGAAATTGGGAATTATTACTGCATCTTAGCTGAGAATGCCCTGGCTCTAGAACATGTGTCATTTATCTAGTAAAAACCATAGATGGTAAAATAAAAAACCCCAATCAGTGTCTAGTCCAAGCTTCCCCAAAGTGTCTATCTTATATTCTGTGCCTTATATCATTGTGATCGGAATTTATTTGGGTTTTTTCCAAACAAAAAAGGATATCTGAAGACAACTGTACAGTCTAAATTATTACAAAATAGATAGGACGTTAAATAGAGAAATGGATAATGAAAGAAGTGGGTTTCTCCACCTTTACCAGCTGTAATAAGCACATTAATGCATCAATAATTATGATCAAAACACATAATATAATATTCTGAAATGGACCAATCTGCATAATGAGTACTTTATTTTGATGCCAATACTTTTACTTGAGTAACGTTTTGAATGCAGGACTTGTACTTGTAACAGAGTATTCATAGACTGTTGTACTTCTACTTGTACTTAAAGATCTGAGTATTTCTTCAACCTCTGGTCTAAAACACCAATGCATCAAAGAAAAGCGAAATGACTAGGCAAGCAAAAGGTGACAGTAACCATGTATGTGAATAAAATCACAGCTCTTAAACAAGGAATGATAAGTTATGACCAAGCTGTGTCCAATCCCTGAACAACAACTTAAACACTAGTCAACATGACATTAAACATACAAGGAAAAACGATAGTGAATGCAGTAAATTAGAAGATGCTATTTGCACTGTGGCTACCATTTAGGCGTCCTCTCCATTTCCAATCTCAGCAATAAAAGCATTTACGTGGAGCACTGTGTGGCCAAAATCAGAGGTTTTGCAGCAATTTCATCTGAGGTTTTTATCTCATAACTTAGGCTTGACGTTACAACCTTAAAATAGCTAAGACAATTCACCAAATTGCTTCAAAATGCCCCAAAAATCTCGGTTACAGACAAACTGACCGCTATAGCCAGCTGGTTAGCAGTATGTTGGCCATGTTGGCAGGGCGACAGACTGGTTTTGTCTGGGTTAGCACATAGCTGTTAGCCTACGTGACTTATAACGTGAATTCAAGGATAGCAGGGGCTAGCATGTAGCTAATGAGAAAAGATAGCTTGAGGCTGATATTCACACCGAGTCTTACCTGGATTCTTCTTTATCTCCTGTAGAGGGAATATTCAATGTCTAGAAACGATATCCAGAATCCTCAGAAGTAGCTGTTTCCACTCCAACAAGCTAGCCTAGCAGATGAGACGCTGTGCCCCGTTGGAATAGCATTTCTATATCAAAGCATGTCATTGCTCAGAAGCGGAGCTAGGCTAGCTTAGCGGCAGCAGCCTCCTCACAAGCTGTTCAGATTCCAAGGTTCCGCCCACTCGCATCCGATTGGCTGCAGGAGAATCGGCTCTGCGCTGATTGGACCGTAGCGCTGTCAGTCAATCCCACTGCAGCTGCTGATGTTTTGCGTTCCTGTAAGCATCCATCATGTTTTTCGCATTAAGGGCTAAAAGTCAACAGAAATAACTACTATAAAATAAACTTGTGTATGATGACACGGATATAGCTTATTTTTACATATGTATGATTAATGTATTAAAGCACTTAGTGGGGCTTAGCTCTCTTGTACTGTTACATTTACTGATAAAGAAAAATAAATTGACAATAAACTCGTTGCAAAAAAATAATTGCACCCTGTTTCTCTAATGTATTATAGCCTAAATGTTGCTAGTAGCAGGCAAAATGTTATCTGTTCTTTGAGTATGACATTATATAAAGAATATACACAAGATGCACTGTGCAGCACAAGTGGAAAAACAAAGAAAGACCTTACCTATTACCGATTTCTGTTTCTCTGTCAGAGGATAATATTATACTTTTACATTTATCTGGCAGCTATAGTTACTTTGCAGATTTATAATAAGAAATGATTATGAATAAAGGATCATGTGGATTATGGATTCAATTTGCCAGCTATAAAGTATTAAGAATAAAGTCCGCCCCGTTTACATCATATCAGTTTTACTGATACTATACTTGAAGTATATTTGAATGCTTATACTTGCTTATTCAAAAACGTATTTCACCACTGTGACACACAAATCCAGACACTCACACACACACACACACACACACACACACCACACACACACACACACACACACACACACACACACACACACACACACACACACACACACACACACACACACACACACACACACACACACACACACTTATATACAATAACTCATTATCAGATTCCATTAATGCCCCTGCTGGGGAGCGATGCTTTTCATAAACATGTCTGTGGTGAGGAGCGTTGCAGAGTCATTTGGAAGGTGTGCAGCTCTCTGCAGGATGCAATCTGTTTCCTGCTCAAACAGATGGGCCTCCCCTCTGTGTTCAGATATCTGCAACCACAATCCCATCTCAAAACAAGACTGTGATACAGCACGAATAATAGACACTAAACCCATTTTATCTGTTGATTTAGATTTGTTTAGTTTGGAAAATAAACTTTAAACTGTTTACCATCGTTTTTGAAAAATGGACATGACAGAGAAACGGGTTTTCTCAGCATTATTATGTGTTTACAATTGTGGTTGTAAAACTTTTGGTCATAAATTAATTGAGCTTGTAGAGTACTCGAGATTTATTGACCGTGGCATTACGAGATTTTTTGTCATCACACACAATGATATCAGCAACACTTCTTGTGTGTGTGTGTGTGTGTGTGTGTGTGTGTGTGTGTGTGTGTGTGTGTGTGTGTGTGTGTGTGTGTGTGTGTGATTATAACCACAAGGCTGATTACTTTCCATTTGTTGGAAATATGGTAAACATTCAACACTGTTTCATACATTCATAACACTTTAAACTGTCATTATTTGACATGAAGCTAAATAATTAGGGTTTAAATCAAATGTTTTAAGTGTTGGGTTGATGCAATAGCTTCCTCTGCAAACTTGAATTAACCACAAGATAGTGTGACTAGCATCTTCATGATTCACTGTAATAAAGCATGACTGATAACTCACTGAGTAGAGGAGTGGATTGTGATTGCCACCTGCTGGGCCTTTAGGGAAACACCCATCCTGTGTCACTTTTCAACCACAACATGTCTGCTTTCATCCGCTCTGCATCCTCATTACGCCTTTATCTCATTCCTTCACTGCTGCGTTGCCTCTGGGGAAATTACGCAGACGTATTGCCCCGGCTTGGTGCTATACGCAGAGAAAAGGAAACAGCGCTGGTGAGTCACTTATTTGTCCAAAGCAGAGGGTCTCATGTTGTTAGAGGGGATTTAATTCAATACAGTGTACCAGAGATGCAAATAATAGTGTTAAATATCGAGCGGCTGCTGCCACATCATATGTAAAGGAGTACAGTTTGATAATACAAGAAAATCATATTTAATCTCCCTATAAACCTATACCGACCCCTGTGATACGGTTTCCTCTATAATGGCATTACAGTATATTCGTAGAAATTACACCATCTTGGGCTAAGAAAAGCAATACCAGTTATTTTATGAAACGTGGGTGGTATTTATTTTTATTCTTTCATTCTTTGTATGTAGTATGAATCATTTCTGGGCTGACATTTATACAACGTGACAACCGTGGCAGTGTGACAAGTTGACAACAGAGGGATACACGGCACCTTGGTGATGTTTTTTTAAAGAAGGTGCATACCATTACAATGTTCATCTTATACTGCCACTCACAAGACCAGATTTAATGTGTTTTTAAATGTCAGAGCAAAAATAAATCACAAAAATTAATTAGTTTTTGCTCACATTTTGGACACTTTGACATTAAAGCAGTACTATCAGGGGGACATAGTCACCATATCACATTTGTCTTTTATTTCACACACAAATATTAAGACATTACACACAAACTGGCACCCTTCCGACAACACAACAATACAAAAATCATCAGATGAAGATCCAGACATTCTTTAAATTGCACAACCAAGCAACATTGTAAACAAACAGACTGACATCTCATTTGATGGGCGAGTCCAGGATCTCTTGGTAATCCTGCCGCACGGCCCGGCTCACGCGGTACAGCTTGAGCCCCGTGAGGGTGAACACACTGACCATGACCACCAGCGCTCCCATCACGTCATAGACGGTCGGCACCATCCTCAGGACGATGAGCTGGAGGAACATGGCCACCACGAACTCCAGGTGCTGCACCGTGCTCACTAAGGCTGGATGAAACTTGTTTAGAGCATAGTAGACTCCGAGGAACGCCACGGTGGAGCAGATACAGATCCCAATTAAGTAGCCCCAGGTCTCCCCGTCCAGAGGAATGATTGGCTCCTGCATGACGAACATAGTGGAGGCTCCCCACACCGTGCCCGTCCAGCCGAAGGTAAAGAGCGCCGTCCACATGCTCACGCGCTCCTTGATGGATCTGTAGACGATCATGGAGAGGGCAGCGGTCAGGCCGGCCACCACTGTCATTGTGTAGCCAAATGCCTCCTTCCAGAAGCTCAGCCTGGACTTCTCCTCGCCCGCCACGTTGGGCACCATGACCAGGCACAGGCCGAACACGCTGCCCACCACCGTGACCACATCGGTGTAGCCCAGCCTCTCGTCCAGCAGCAGGAAGGCCAGGATGGCGCTGAACACCGTGGTGGAGGCCCGCCACATGATGGTGCCGTTACTGGGCGGTACTATCGCGAAGGAGGTGTAGGCGCAGGTGATTGAGATTACATTGCACACACCGTAGAAGAAGAGTCGCAACCGGTAGCCCTTAGGGCCAAAGGGCGCCTCGTGGTAGTAGAAGACCACCAGGATGGAGAGCAACTGGATCACGGAGCGGATGAAGAGCAGCTCCAGGGAGGGCACTTTGGAGCGGTCGGCTGCTAGACGAGTGATCAGAGCCACGCAGCCGTGAGCCACCGCTGCCCCGAACAGAGCCATCCAGGTCACTCTGGAGGCCAACACATTCGCCTCCCCGAAGCTCGCCAGCTGGCCCCCGACCCCCTTGTCTCTTTGCACACTTGGCTGCTTGGGCTGGGTCTCCATGGTGCCAAACAAAGTCCTGCTACCTTTGCTCTCCGACACCAGTTTCTTTCCCGTGTTAGCCTCCGCGAAGGCGCCAAACTCCTCAAAAGACGGCGCGTCATCGTAGCCCTCGTCGCCGGGCTGGGGGAAGTGTGTGGCGTATTTGACCGTCACCGTGTTGGGGTGGATCTTAACACGCTTTTTGGATCCATACTGCAGCGAGGATGAAGATCCATCCATGTTTCCTTACGCGTCAGAGCGGGTAACCTGGGAAAAAATACATTAAAGTAATTTTTTATTGTGCGGAAATAATATTCAAATATGTTCCAGTGGTGTGGTTTTATTCCCTTATCAACACAGAGCTTTTCTGAGTGTGTTTGCATAATTCACAAGTTCTTTTTTCAGAATCCACCCCTCACACCCCCCCCACGCACAGATAAAGCACACACTCACTGTAACACCCCTCTCCCTCTTACCTTTTCCACTCTGCCAAGCCTCACACTTGTGTTGTGTTACTTCTATATATAGGCTTTCCCATGAGAGCTCATACAAGCCAAGCAGCAAACACTGTGAGGATGATGCAGTCTGATGGGGATGATATTACATAACAGGAAACCACAGAGGGGACGATACATGAATGTGGGTCACCTATGAGATGAATGGACTTGCACACTATAAATTAACAAACACTGGGAGTGGGAAACGGATAAATCCATGGCTTGAAGGAGAGATGTTGCATGCTTTCAATGGGATTTGGTTTAAGGGTTAGATTATAATGCTGTAAAATAAAATACAGGGGGTAAAGATATTAGGACTAAATAACATTGCTGCAAGATTATTTAAACTACTACATTCATTCTGTCAATTTATTTTCCACACAGCATGATGTGAAACCACAAGGGGGCAGATGGGGACCCTTAAATGCCTCCTCTCCTCTTTCATGCGATTGCTCCTCCTTTTTTGAAATATGCAACTTGAACCTTAATAGGAAACGATGTTAATAAAATATTAAGTCGAGGGGAATTGGTAGAAAAGAATGCATTTTATAATTTTGTTTGAGAAAAATCCTTAAAAACCATGCATTTGGCGCGAATACCCAATTTAACGATGGTTTAGTATCTTAATCTTGCAAAACATGAAATTCAACGCGTTAATAAATGGACGATCGGGTCACGTGAACTATTCAAACCTAGTTTAATTAAGCTTCTGTCTTGCAAAGAGCGTCTTTCCGACCTAGATATTGAAAAATCGTAATCAACTATCATTTCCCCCTTGTTAAGCGTTTGCATAGTATTAATTGAGCTCAGAAAGAAACATCGTCTTACCTTTTTGATATCTGAATAGTTCCTAATGAAGCATGAACCCGGGTTTGTCTCATATATGAACACCTCGTTCTTGATCCTTACATTTGCTCAAGTGCCATTTCCCCATCTTCCCTCCTGGAGATGCTTATTTGTTCTCGACGCTGCTGCTGCTGCTGCTGCTTGAAACTGCTGTTGCTGAGGGCGATGATGATGATGATGGTGGTGGTGATGAAGCTGAAGCAGGGGGGGGGGGAGAAGCAACTGTCACTGTCACAGCCAGTGGTTTCTCCTCCTCATCCTCCTCCTCCTCCTCTCAGAGACTGATTCCCACCTCATTCGTCATCTCTCAGAAGGGAAAGGGAAGTGCGTCTGCAGCTCATCACCATCATGTCTCATGTTTATGGGATTTATGGGAAGGGGGAGATCTGATTTGTGTATGATTCACTCTCTTCGAGAAGTACTCAGATCTTGTACTTGAGTACAAGTAGAAGTAGAGTGTAGGAATACTCTGTTACAGTAAAAGTCATGCATCAAAATGTTCCTCAAGTAAAAGTAGAAGTACTCAGATCTTGTACTTGAGTAGTACCAGAGTGTAGGAATACTCTGTTACAGTAAAAGTCATGCATCAAAATGTTCCTCAAGCTCTTACCTCTTCTGTATCTGCTCATGTGCTTTTGCCTGTACAAATACAAATGCAATTCATGTTATTTAGTGTTGCAGCTTCTAGTGATTGGGAGTCCCATAATCCTCTCTGGTATCCTCTCATTTGCTCCAAGGAGACTGTCATTAGGCCGGTGTGAGAGATCATTTCACTTACTCCTCACAGCCAAGAGCAATAAATATCTGTTTTACTCCCGGAGGATCGCTTTAACCATCACTTTCGAAATACAATGATCTATTACCAGGCTTGGGGAGTAACGGATCACATGTGACGGGAGATTACAGTTACATTTAAAAAAAGAATTGGGGATTACTAATAGAATTTCAATGTTAGTATAAATAAATAAAATCTCTGAGTAGAGGACACATTTTTTATCCTAAATATCTTGGTTTCTTATTTTCTAAGGTCACATTGATCTGTTGTCTTACATAATACACTTAAAGTGGACCTATCATGCTATATTTGAATAATATATTGTAGGGCCATACCTATATAAAACATGTCTGTGAAGTTTTTTTTTCAAAATACCAAACAGATCATGCATTTGAGCCATGCCTCATTTCGCTCTATTTGCTCTTTTCCAGCCCTGTTTTTGCAAGGGCTGATTCTGTGAGAAGTCTTCTTCGCTGCGTTTGTGGCAGACTACAGCGCCACTTACAGGCCTGGCATATGTACTACAGCGTCGACAGCGCTTTCGAGCGGCAATGGCCGTGGCCCAACCCCCCATTCCCCTGATAGGTGGAGAGTTGCCCATATAGGCGGAGCTCCCTGTATCTGACGTCAGAACAATTTCAAATCTGTATCTGCTCCGTTGCAGCCCCGTTTTTAGAGATTTGGGTATGGAGGAAAAGAGAGAGGGTTGTGTTTTCTGACACTTGCTGAGTTCCCTGGAACACCGGGGACACATATTCATGTATAAAAGACGTACAAAAGTGCATTTTGCATGATAGGTCCCCTTTAAGTTAAAAACATCCTATTGATATTTCTTATCTCTTGTATTTATTTGCAATGCATTTGAAGTAATCAAAAAGTAATGAGGTTACATTACTTTTATATTTGGATACTCAGATTAGATTACATTTTCTTACAGGTAAATTTCTTGTAACATAATACATATTTAAAGTAACCTTCCAACCCTGCATTGCAACAAGGAAGCCATACGTACTGAATACTGATGGAGAACATCACATTAAAGACCAGCTGACTGCTAGCTGATGAAAGACAGACGAACATCTGTAGTCACTTCAAGACGGGAGAAATTGAAGGCACTAAAATTAGATTGTTCAGGTTTACCCCCCAGGCAATGCAACAGGAAACTCGGCTGCTAATTGAGATAATTTGTGCTGACTGTGATTTTAATTGTCGCGGAGCACTGAGGAAGGTGATTTGTGATGTAGCTGCAATTATTCCTGTGTCAACATTTACACTGAGCTTTTAACAGTGAACACATCAGGGAATATGAACTTTAGAGCACATTAGTCATTACAGGGGGCAATACATGTAGTATTTAACTACCCTAACCCTAACCCTAATTAGTCTTTAGTGTCATGACTGAAGTTAATTATTAAAGGGGCCCTATTCTGCTCTTCTTCAGGTGTATATCAGTATGTAGTGTCTCTACTTTAAAGAGTCCTCTCCTGCTGATGTTCAGGTGTATATCAGTATGTAGTGTCTCTACTTTAAAGAGTCCTCTCCTGCTGATGTTCAGGTGTATATCAGTATGTAGTGTCTCTACTTTAAAGAGTCCTCTCCTGCTGATGTTCAGGTGTATATCAGTATGTAGTGTCTCTACTTTAAAGAGTCCTCTCCTGCTGATGTTCAGGTGTATATCAGTATGTAGTGTCTCTACTTTAAAGAGTCCTCTCCTGCTGATGTTCAGGTGTATATCAGTATGTAGTGTCTCTACTTTAAAGAGTCCTCTCCTGCTAATGTTCAGGTGTATATCAGTATGTAGTGTCTCTACTTTAAAGAGTCCTCTCCTGCTGATGTTCAGGTGTATATCAGTATGTAGTGTCTCTACTTTAAAGAGTCCTCTCCTGCTGATGTTCAGGTGTATATCAGTATGTAGTGTCTCTACTTTAAAGAGTCCTCTCCTGCTGATGTTCAGGTGTATATCAGTATGTAGTGTCTCTACTTTAAAGAGTCCTCTCCTGCTGATGTTCAGGTGTATATCAGTGTGCAGTGTCTCTACTTTAAAGAGTCCTATAGAGGCGTTTCAGGCCGGGAAAACCCTATAAATCACTATTGGGCCTCTTGGCTCTGATGGAGGATGAATATTAAAGATAATTGGCATATAACTACTTGGGCTTGTCATATTTTTCCGTCATATATATTCTCATTCTGACTCTGATTTATGTGTTATCCAGATTCTTTGGAAAATGTCAATGAATAATTTAAAGCAATACATATATCACTCACCGAATCTGTTGCTGTGACTGAAAATTAGGCCAAATCTGTTGCATTAAAGTAAAAAGCGCTAATATATGTGTATATGTTATGAATATATGAATTTGAAACTGCCTGAGCATCCAGTGCCTGTGCCACAGAATTAAGTCAAGTGATTAAAAAAGAAACCACTTCCCCAAACTGCCTCACACAGCTCATTTAACCACTGTAAAACTGGGAAGCAATATCACCGTCTACTTTCATTTTACCAAATTCAAGGATAGTTTCTACTGAACAAAAATTCAGACTATTGCAGTTCAAGGATCTTCTAATATCTCACTTTACAGAGGACCAAGTCTATTGAATATCTCTAGGAGCATGTTAAGCTTCCCTAATCCTGACTGCACTCAGGCAGCTTTAGCAGGTGCATTACTTAAGATATATAAGTGTATTGATTGTGTTGTATATCATATAAGTAGCTTGTATACTTCATATTGCCCGAGCTCATTAGCTAAATGTGTGGACAATTTAAAACAGATGTGAGCACATAATGAAGACTAATTACAGGTGACAGCATTGTTATTATGCCCTGCAGTGCACAACGTTTACAGCAGGTTTGAAGAACCCAGCTTATATAACAAATAATTATGTAGTATTAACTCGAGTGAAAACATCAAGTCATGTGCAAAGCTTTGTTCTTTTTCTGTGAGGAGGAAGTATCAATGAGGTTGTGCACTGATAAGTAAATCGCAGCACCAAGATGCTCCCATTTAAAACACGTTTCCACGACATTTTAAAGCACTTTTACCCAGGATTCAAGCACCTTTCCTGGCTTGTAAAGTGCTGTGATGCGCCCTGGAAGTGTCACACTATTTAAACAATGTTTACCCAGGATTCAAGCACCTTTCCTGGCTTGTAAAGTGCTGTGATGCGCCCTGGAAGTGTCACACTATTTAAACAATGTTTACCCAGGATTCAAGCACCTTTCCTGGCTTGTAAAGTGCTGTGATGCAGCCTGTTCTCTGGGTACAGTCTTGTTGTTTTTCCCACAGACACTTTACTTAATAGACTTTTGCCAAATTGACATTTCATGCATTTTTATTTGTTTGACTATGCAAGCTGTTTTCTGGCTTTCAAATATTTCAAATATGGGCAGAAACCTTTGCAGCATAGTAACTCAAAGCAGCTACAATTCCTCACCTGTCACCTCACATTTCTCTTACTCTATTCTACAATTTCTTTCAACAAGGTGTTTTTCTCTGGAAATGGACTCTTGGTTTACAGCCACTGGCTTCTTGGTGAGCATTATCTAAAAGCCTGGTGTGTTTTATATTGATCACATGTGTTGCTCATTTGTCTCCCGATTGGCGCTCAGACCATCCGTCAATGATTAGACATCTCAGTTATATTGTCCGGAAACGACAAACCACCATCCCTTTACACTGACTGACAGGCTGATACAGCAATTTAAGGATCGGGAACATTGGGAAGGTGAGAGCAGGGCTGTCATAGAGTAAATGGAAGATGGCTTAAATAGGCAATTTGTGTTGTGAGAAAATAGATGTGCTTGGTTCACCTATAGGGCTTAGGAAAGATAGAACCATATTGAATGAGTTAAAGCAAGCCTGACATTTTCCTTATTAACCAAAAAGACCAATGCGATATATCTACAAGCAGGAGAGGCATATTCGACTTTGCATACACATGTAAACCCAGTGGATTTGAATGATTCAAAGCAGACATCCGCTCTGTTTGCAGGAACACACTGGACACACACTCAGTGCTACCTCTCTCTGAACACCTCTCTGTTCTCTTGTCTATTTGCTGAACCCAAAATCAAACAGTGCCTCAGTCTTCTATGAATCATAAATGGGCCAACTCAGCGGTTTGTCCTAAAGCCATTCTTAATTATGTATGAGCTGAGGACGACTTGTAAAAAGTGAGATTCATTTCTGGCTTTGATTCTCTTTGACCCTGACCAAAAAACAATTTGTTCCCCAATCAATTTTCACAAAAGCAGCCTGGACTCCTTTGTTCACTCCAACACATTGTACGTGATAGTCTAAGGGGCGGGACATCTCTAAGTGATTGACTAATCACAACAGAGCCGACCAGCTAACCAATCAGAGCAGACTGGGCTCTGGTTTCAGACAGAGGGTGAAATAT